ATCAAAGCCCGTGACCCCCCCCCCCCCCCCCCCCCGCCTCTTTTTTTTGGTAATGGTTTGTTTGAAATGGTTATTCTTGAAGGGTGTTAAAATCACGATCATCTTCTTCAGTTTAGTTTTTCACGAGGTGGTTTTTACCAGGCCCAGATTAGTTGAGCACCTCGAGCAGCTCGCAGTGTGAATGGCTGCAAAGAACGGAGAGGGCTTCTAGCTAGTCCACGGGATAGGCCAGGTCACGGAGGGGACCAAGCCAAACCCAACCCAACCCACTGCCATCGAGTCAATTCTGATGCCCAGAGACCTTATCGGTCTGCATAGAACTGATCTTTAGGGTTGCTGACATTGTACATATCTATGGAAGTAGACATAGATAGACTGTGTACATATCTATGGAAGTAGACATACATAGAGTCAGAGTGGCAGGTAGATTTGAGCTTCAGACCTTGCCATGAGCAGCTGACTTGGCCTGACCCAGGTCTCCTTGGTGTTTCAGTCACTGGCCTTGAGGGAATGATTCGCAGAAGCACCGCGTGCTGCTATCAGCAGCCAGGAGTCATTCGCTGCTGAGCACCATGGAAGTCAGGATGAGCAGCATGGCAGGGCTGCAGTCAGCCCGCAGGAAACCTGGCAACAGGGAAGCCAGGCAGAAGGGCCGGTTACCTGCTGTCCGTGGTAGAACACGGCGAGGAGGAACATGGCCATCAGCAGGAGCGATGCCTCCTTGGTCCCCAGGAAATCTCTGTTGGAAGAAGAAAGGCAAAATGGTGGCTGGTTACTACCAGTCCTGGACGCAGTTCAAGCCGACTTATTGGAAAAATGGGATTAAAGAGAAACAGCCCTTTTTAGGGGGGGCGGGGGGAGGCTGCGCCCAGTCTCATTTGGAAAAAATGACTCGCCAACAGTCATGAAGATGACACACTGGTGGCATTTTGTTCTGTTCTACAGAAGGTCAAGGAGGCTCGGTGGTGCAGGGGTTAAGCGATGGGCTACTCACAACAGGGTGGGAGGCACCAGCCACTTCTTGGGAGAAAGATGACGTTGCTGACTCCCTTAAGGGTTTACAGCCCCGGGTGGAGGAGCAGTTCTGCCCTGTCCCCTGGGGCCACTGTGAGAGGATTTCGCCTGCACTGCAGCTGGGCTTTGGTTTGGTATATAGAGGCCACCATGAGTCAGAAATGACTTCACAGCCACGAACAGCAACCATTTGGAAAGCAACTGACCCCCAAGGGCTTGAGGTCATGCAGATCAAAGCCCGTGACCCCCCCCCCCCACACCCGCTCAAAATCATGTCTCCAATTTGCGGAGCACTTTCCCCAGAAATCACAGAGCCTTTGGCCCTTTCTCATGCCCCACATCTACGTGAGCACCAAGACCATCTCCTGTTTCTTCTTCTGTCCCTTTCCTTTTGTAAGATGCCTTCCTCTCGCGGAGAGGGCACCTTTAAGAGAGCAGACAGCTCCATCTTTCTCCCTAGGAGCGGCTGGAGCCCCTGACCTTGTTGGCTGCCCAGGGCTTTGCTACTGCTGTAGGGCTTGCTAAGGGTCATTCCCGGGTTGATGTGCTCCCACAGCTATGGCCTCTTTTCCACGCGCACATCCTATCTATGAGCTGGACACTGTTGTTCCTTTCCCCAGGTATGGACACTCAAGTGTTAACGTCTCCATTTGACAAACAAGAAAATGGAGTTGTTGAAACATCCGCTCAAGGTAACGGCCACTCATGGGGAGATCCTGGATGAGAACCTGGGTTTTGCCAGTTTAGAAATGGTCACTCATTGTATCATCAAGAACACAGGCTTTAGGCTCATAAAGTCTGATGGCCAAAGATGGGCTCTTGCATGTGCTGGCTGTGTGTCCACGGGGCAGACCAACTTGCTCTGCCTCAGTTTCCCCAGGTGCAAAATAAGGATGGCAAAACCTGTTCCCAAGAGTTCTTTTGAGCATCGACTGTCAACCCTTTTATCTTTTTTAAAATTCAGAGTGCTTGGATAAGCTTTGGCTTGGGCTTTTGGAACCCGATCTGGCACGGTGCTCTCATTAACATGACCCACCTGCTCACACAGTGCGAATGGGAGAAATCCAACATTTTGGTCCTCGTGGACACGCCCTACATCCGGACTGTGCCTGGCACATCTGATAGCCTTTTCCTTATGAGACAGCTGGCTTTGTAAAGCCCGGTACTTTATCATTGGACACACACATTCAAGAGAACATAAGACTACCTCTTGATCATTTGAAAAGAGTTGTTTGTCTGAAACTAAAGAGAATAGACTAGACCAACGCAGAAACAAAACAAAACATGGAAGAAATTTATGAAGAACGTTTCCGTCTTTCAGGATATGTTTCAGATGGAAAAAATAATTGGTCTGTGGGTACAATGCTAGATGCATCTGGTAAACCAGCTAGGCCAAGGAACATCTCCCAGAAATGGTGATCTAAATGTGCTGGACACGATGGATGGATGGATGGATTGTGATAAGAGTTGTACAATCCTGCAATAAAATGATTTTTTAAAAAGGAACAAATGAAATCGTGATCTAAATGTAGGAGGGATTACTTATCTATTTTATTTTGGTTGCCTTTATGGAATCTGAGGGACTCATGGAGAGAGCCAAGTGGCTGAGGCCTGTGCAGTATTATAATCCAGTGGGTGCTGAATAGATTCCAAATCCTATGAGTTGAACTGCGTTCCATAGGGTTTTCAGTGGGTGGTGTTTGAGAACTAGGTCAGTAGGCTTGCGTTCTGAGGTGGCTGTGGGTGGATTGGAACGCCCAACAACTTGGTTAGTTGCCAAGTGCATTAACCATTTGCTCCACCCATGGGCAATACTTGGTTTGATATTGGGTGTCAGGGACTTAAAGCCAAGGGCAGCTTGACTGGGCGTCTTTGTCTTAATTAACCCACTGAGTTAATACCGCCATCTCTCTGTGCTGATGCGGCTCCGTGAAAACACAAGCAGAACAATGCCCGTCTCAGGGCAACCGCCACCCTGGGAGAGAGACTGTCTTAGCTGGGGTCTCAGAAAATTTACCACTTGATTAGACTGCTGTTCAGTACAGACACATTGATGCTAACTGTAGAGAATTTGGAAGATAATGAAAAGGTTCACCAAAAAGAAAATGAAAACTATCTTTAAGCTTATGACCCAGGGAAACCGCAGTTAATATTCCTGGGTCAACACAGCACCATTCCCAGGCCTCTTCGTGGTTCATGCTGTTTTGTAATGGACTTTTATACTTTGTGATAAAACGTGGGAAAAAGTCCATGCGATTCAACGCTCTGTAAGGTGAGTTTTAGTAGATCCACACTGTTCCATTTCATGCACACTGTGCACAACTGAGTGTTCTTGGCCAGCCTTTCAGTTTGCAGGTAGGTCAGGGAGGATCAGAGAAGAGAAGTCACTGGCCCAAGGCCATTGGATAACGTGTGTCATTAGTCTCAGGCCATCCAGACGATTTGTGTCAGAGACAGGATGAGAACACACAGCTTAGGTACCATGTCAAAGGCTTTAGCCACTGTGGGGGGTGTAGATGGGTAGGATGGGGTGGGGGGACAGCTGGATGCTGAAATAAAGGGCAGAGTGGCACTTTCTCTCTCTGTAACCCCAAGTGCGACCTTCCCTCTTTTTAGTGTGAAGGCGCTCTGGGGGAGTAGGTAGATACGTGGGTGGCTGCTCACCACAAGGTCAGGAGCTGGCACCCACCAGCCACTCTCTAGGAGACTGACGCGACTTTCTGCTCCCATGAAGATGTGCAGCTTCAGGAAGCCAGTGGGGCAGTTCGACTCTGTCCTTCAGGGTCGCTGGGGTCAGAAGTGGCTCAAAGGCAGTGGGAGGATGTTCACATTTGTAATGTGACTTTTTAGAAGTTGGGGCTGGGGGACAAAGGAAGGAAACAACATGGTAATTGGGCTGAATGACTCAAGAAGGAAGGTCAGCCTGAGCTTATCTGTGCTTACTTCCGAATCCGTACTGAACCGTTTCACATGGGTCTGATGTGGTAAAACCCATGTAAAATTGTTCACTAGAGAGTAGTAAGTAAGCATAGGTAAGGCCACGCCTACTCTGCTTAACTGGTGACTCTAGCTACTATCAACTTGAAAAGAGGCTTGGATTCTGTAGGAAGGTGAAGGGCCGTTGGGAGAGACACAGGTGGCAGTCAGGCCCAGAAGCGAAACCTTTGATGTGGTGAAATCTAAGGGACATGGTTCAGCACGGAGCAGTCAGGAAGTAAAAATAAGCATGTGCTTACCTTGCTTCTTGGGTCATGTGCTCCTGGAAGGTTATATGGGGAAAGGCAACCATATGACGGTAGTTTATTCTTTTAAAATGTAGAAGTAAGGATGAGGAGCTGTTAGCTTTGCTGATTCCTGGGGACTGCGATGATTAATATTACTACCACCAAATTCTAATTAGATCCCACACCTCTTGGTGCTCCTGAAGTGTAAGCCAGCATCCATCACTAGGCTGCAGGAAGTGTGAGCACAATGGGCATTCTGGGATTGGGGTGGGGGGTGGGGGGCTGTGCCCTGTGGTGTGGCTGTCCCCCTTCTCTCTGCAGCCCTCCCCACCTCCATGGAGCCCACCGTGGTTGGAGATGGTAACAGTTAGGTGGCACCCACCACCCACCACTTCTGTCATCCACCCTGGGCAGGGACTCCCCTTGTACTTACACTGTCCTCCTTGGACAGTGACCCTGCTGGCACTATCCACTGACCCACTGTCCTCACCTCATCTTCCCTGCATGCCCCACCCTCCATTTCCTCCACCAACCTTCCAGCGGCTTTAAGCCCTTGTGTAGCCTTCCCCTACCTGCCGAAGACCTTGCATTTCCCACCCTCACCCTGCATCCTCAGTGATCAGACCACGATGTCAAGAGTGAGTGAGAGAAGATGTCCTGCAGCTGAGAGGCCTCCTGACTGTCTCCGAGACCCCTGGCATATCATTCAAGGTGGCCCGAGGAGGGTGCCCCAGGCCTGGCTGCTGCCCCACATGGGACCCAAATCATTGGAGGCACCACCTGAGAATGTTTTCTACATTGTCATGGAACGCAGAAGGCTAGACCAAGGAGCGAGGAGCAGGTATAATTCCTAGAAATGATAAGGCTGGACATGAGAGCTTTTTGCCTGGTCTTGTAAGCTAGCGGATGCCTGTGCTGAGAAACCGGAGTGGGTAGCCAATCAGTGCAGCGGGTCGGATTCCACGGGGCCTGGCGACACTTACTCTCCACTGTGGTGCTGGCTGTCGTAGCGCAGAAAGAGGCCTGCGTAGACGGTCTCCGTCAGCAGGGCATAGATGGCGATCATGATGAGCAGCACCGCCAGCTTCAGGACGGAGTTCAGACGCAGGAAGACGGCACAGGTCACCATGGCCAGCACCCCCGTGAAGACGAAATACTGCAGACGGAACGCGCAGCTGGTCAGACACGAAGGGCCACCCAAGGAGGCGCACTCACCTTCAGCAGGGTTGGGCTCACTCCAGGAGGCACTGATAGGAGTTTGTCTCCCAAGGGAGGTCTCCAGGCCTCTTGAAAGTCAACGGATCCCAAGCTGAACTGCAACCCCCAAACCTGCTCCCCATCCTGTGTGTGGTGTCTTCCCTGTCCCCCTTCTTGTCCCCCCACTCTACAGCATGTCCTCACAGAGGCTGTAGCATGGATTTCCTCAATAGCTCTCAAATGCATCCAGTTTTCTCCTGCCACCCCATTTCTGTAACGAGTCTCCCTGACAGCTCTCTGGCACCCTGCCTGCTGCTTGGCCCCATCCTCCACCCAACACACACTACCATCTTCTACCTACAAGTCCTACAACACTGATGGGGTCACGTCCCTCCCCTTGCTCAGATGTTCCCTTGTGGCAACACGGACAAGGTCCTTCCTTCTATGTCCAAGTTCTTTCCACTCTCTTAGCCCCCAAGCCTGTTCTAGCCCCTCTCACTACTTACTGCTCCCCCCAACATGCCCTTCTCTTCCATGCCTCATTGCTCTGTGGTGCCAGCATCCTCTTGCTCAACCCTCATACAGGGGACTAAGCCTTACTCTGCTCTAACAAATATCAGTTTAGGTATCGTTATTTGCGAGGAAACCCTTCTGGAAAATCTTCGAGTGCTTCTGGATCCTGCCTCGCTCCTCTACACCCCCCCAGTAGCACAGGGGAACACCTGAGAACTGCTTAGCTTGTAAATGTGGAACCTCCCAACAGCAGGATTCTGAGAGTAGCCGCCCTATTGGAGCGGCACAGCCAGCCGTCTGCCTTCTGTGGGAAGCCCCTCAATGGATGCCCCTTTGGGAACCATCACTATCTATCATCATGGCGGTGGCCAAGGACTGTGGCCATCCAGTGGGCAAAAAGAAAAGGACCCACATGAGCTAGGGCTCCCTTGGGAAACGAGCTTGGATTTGGAGACACGTTTCCTTGTGTGTTTTTTAAAATAACCACAATTCCCATTTTACGGGTAAGGAAACCGAGGCTCACAGTTCGAAGGAATGGTTTAAGGTCTCAGAGCTGAAGAGTGGCATCCCAGTCACCTGGACACAACCAAACTCACAGACCAGATTCACTGCCACCGAGTTGAGGCTGACCCTATAGGACAGGGTATCCCGAAACTCTTCAGGAGAGTAGAAAGCCCTGTCTTTTCCCATGGAGTGGCTGGTGGTCTTGAACTTCTGACTTTGTGGATGGCCACCCCATGTGTAACCACTATGCCATCTGGGCTCCCTGGATACAACCAGTCCTGATAAATGTGACTTTTGGGGCAAAGTCTGCATTGGTTAGGAGGAAAGGATCACTTGGGGTTTCCTCATTGTGCCTCCTGAATATTTTATGACAGTATTTAGTGATTTATAATAAAGTGTGGGAAACTGAGGAACAGGAAGAGAGTGTATGCAGATGAAATTCTTTATTCTCATCTATTAAGAAACCTGGCAGGCCAGGATTCTGGGCGGAGGGAGGCCTTCACACTTGTGGGCTTGAGGTGAGTCTCAACCACATTCTCAAAACCAAGATTGATCCCCACAATCTCCTATCCAAATAGTGCTGCCTTAAAGTGACCACTTTTAAGCACATAGCTGATGGCTATCTGACCAGCAACTATAGGAGAAGACATGTGCGATTGTTCTCTCTGCATAGGGGACTGTCACTCCCCCTTACCTCTCCCCAGCACTGGTGTTAGGTTTCTCCTCCAATGAACTCAGGGACCTTTAGGGTTAGGGTACAGCCCACTTTGTTACCTTATGTGGTTACCTGTAATTAGACAGGCTTGCATGCCCTGAGAGTATATAAGATGATGATGATGATAATACAATCACTTCTTCTGCTCTGGTTCCTGAAGCTGTGGCAGAGGTGAGCACCCCTAAACTTTTCTCTGTCTCTTAATTTTTTCCCTTCAATTACATGCCCTTTATGACCTGTCCGGCTGTGAGGTTGAATCTCAAGCCTCACCCTCTTCTAAAAAGTAGCTATCTGGTTACCCTTACTCATCTCTGCACCTTCAATACCTACTCAGAACTGTTCCTTCTAGAACGGAGGGATGCACTAGGCATTAGACAGGTGTTGAACCAGGACTGAGAAAATATGGAATTATTTCTGCTCTGGGGAAACTTACTTAGTTTTCTATGCCTCCCTTTTCTTACCAATTAAATGGCTTCTGAAGTGTGGTTCCTTCGTTAATGTGGGACCATTTTGGGTGAGGCACTGGCAAATACCTTAAAGATCTCAACACAATAGAAAAGGTTTCTACACATCTAACACCAGGCTGAAGGTCTCACAGCTCATATTTCTCAGGAGGAGTGTAAAGTATGTATTTGGGCCAGAAGGATGAGTTGACTAAAGAAGAAGTGGATAATATTGGGGGTGATATTTGGATCTGAAACAAACTTCTTAAGTTTGTGGCAAACTGAGTTGCTCCTTTTGAAATGCCCTCTTGGTAGTGTTGTTCATGGTCCTTTGTGACAGCTGCTTGATGTCTGATTTCTATTACATGGCGAGAGAGTCTTGATTTGGGCTAGAGCGGTGGGTGACTCTCCTCAAATCCCCAAGTAGCTATCAGAGGGATGTTCAGTGACTTCTAAGGTCAAAAGGACTCATTCCTGCATCCTTCCATCAAGTGTGGATGGGGCCCTGACTCAGAGTTCCCACGGAGGGCAAAGATCTCATGCCTTTGTTGTACTGCAGGTAGACAGAGACGCAGCTAAGGCCTGTCCCTGGCCTCAAGGAGCCTTTACTTTGGCTTCTCCTTTCCTCATAAATTCAATGATGTCGTTGTCTCAAACTGGGGTAATAGGTGTTCTTCTACTTATTCTAAGACCTTCCTTTGGGCATGTTCTTTAAGGCAACTCATCCTGACGTCTCTGTGCAGAAAGCTGGGAATGAGCTGAGCCACGGATAAGTTCATTCTCTAGATTTGTTTTCTCCACATGGAAACATCCAAGATCCTCTGTTTTGTCAAAGTCAAAGCAAAGAGGGACTAGATTGGAGGGGGTCCCCGATTGATGATGACTTGCCTCACAATACAGAGGATTTATGCACGGCATTCTCAATGTAAATTATGAATCATGCATTAAATAAAAGGTCATTGAAATATTGTGTCCTTTGAGCAAAAATCAATGGGAGCATAGAATTAAAGAAAAGCTTGCAATCAAGGAATGGTGCTAGGTACTGGGATGCCAGGTAAATAAGAGACAATCCAGGCCTAACAGAGGCACAGTCTAAAGGGGACACACCAACCCAGGAAAGCCAATAGTAACTGTACAGGATGCTATGTATTCTGTCAGTACGTGACCAGCTACTCTGGGAGTTTGCCTCATCCACGGAGAGCTCTTTCTCTTTTTGTTGATTCAAGCAGTTGTGTTGTGTGCTTGTGCCAAGGGTGACATGTGAGCATTAATATGATGCTAGAGCGGTATATGAACTGGTAGGAAGATGAGTGGCAGATAATACATCATTAAAGGGACTCTTGAAAGCTGGATAGAACTTTAAGAAACACACTGCCATTGAGTTGATTCTGACTCACAATGACCGTAAGGACAAGGTAAACTGCTAGAGAGGGCTTCCAAGGTTGTAGATCTTTACAGGAACAGAGCCTCATTCATTTTACTCAGAGCAGTTAGTGGGTTCAAACTGCTGACCATGTGGTTAGCAACCTAATGTATAAACCACTGCACCAGTGGGGTTCCTAAGCCACCAGTGTACAAATACTCAACTCACTGCCATCGAGTTGATTCCGACTCATAGTAACCCTATAGGACAGCGTAGAACTGTCCCCGCGGGTTTCTGAGGCTGTAACTTTATAGGAGTAGAAAGCCTTGTCCTTCTCCCAGCGTAAAAATAGGTGGGGCTAAAAGGGGAGAATGTATCAAGATTCTAAGATGCAAACACAGAACTCATACCTCTATGGAAAACTGGCTCTCACTGACCCTTTAAAATTAGAGCTCGTGCTGACTACCCTTGCAAATATAACAAGCTATTTATTCAGATGTGTGGGAGCAGATAATAACAGGATCTGATTCTGAAATGCTCAGAGTTCTTCCTACTGGGTCTCCTGGGCCACACCCGGGGATGTGAGATAAGGGCTGGCCGGGACTGGGACTGCAATGCACATTCATCCAGCACACTCACACAAAGTCTTTCTCCTTCACTGAACGGCCTCTCCAATTAGAGCTGGGACATGACTTTCTTCGCAGCCATTGCCGGCAGTCTCACTCATTTTTAGTAAGTTGCCCATCTACAATTAAAGTCTGACCGTCCTGTACAGAGATTCCTTACACCAGGGGTCCTCAAACTTTTTAAACAGGGGCCAGTTCACTGTCCCTCAGACCCATTGGAGGGACGGACTATAGTTTAAAAAAAAACTATGAACAAATTCCTATGCACACTGCACACATCTTATTTTGAAGTAAAAAACAAAATGGGGCAAAAACACCCGGCTGGCCAGATAAATGTCCTCGGCGGGCCGCATGTGGCCCGAGGGCCATAGTTTGTGCCTTACACCATATAGCAGATCCTTACATTTCTGTCAAATCATTCCATTTTAACGGCAGAGTTGGACTGGGCATCCGTTCTCCTGGAGGGAAGCCGAAAGGTCAGATCTACCTGAGAAGGGAAGAGCTGAGACTCAGAGAGTCAGGGACCATGTGTAAATGATGGGGCCATGAGTAAGCCTTTCCACTCATTGGAATGTCTGATTCCCTCAGTTTGACTGAGAAAACCCTAGAGGGACCTGGTGCCACCTTAGAGATAAGTCAGGTGAAGAGTGGTTCAGCATGATGGTTGTAGCAGCTGAGGGTGGAGAGTCCAGATTCTAGAAGGTTGTGTGAGCTGAGGATGGAGAGTCTGGAATTGGATGCATGGGCTCTTTGTCATCAAGGGAAGATGAAGGGCAGGTGGTAAGTAAGTACGTGTGCCATGCGATCATCTCCGTAGCACATCATGGCAAACGCTGCTGCCTTGTGCCGCTGTAGTGTAAAAACACCTGCAGACACTTCTTACTCAGTGGTGTAGCTGAGCCCCTATAAAAGTATTTTACAAACTAGGTGGCTGACTAGATGTGGCCTGGGGCCACAGCTGGCCGACTCCATTGGGCAACATGATACGTTGCGTGTGGGAGGAAGATAGTAAAAATTTCAATTCATATTTCCTTCATTTCACCTTCTACGGTCTCTATGTTCATCATGTACACTACATATTAACAAGGTAGGCCAGGTACGTGACAAACTCACCTACTAACGTGAAGTCATTTCCCACTCAGAGCGACCCTGTATGAGGTTTCTGAGGCTGTCAATCTTTATAGGCGCATAGGGTCACAGTTTTTATCCCATGGGGTGACTGGGGAGTTTGAACCACCAGCCTTGAGGTGGGTTAGCAGTCCAATGCTTAGCCAACCGTGCCACCAGGGCTCCTTATAGATATGTGGCACAGAGGTAAACATATATTGGCAGAGCCAGCTCAAAATTCTTGAACTGGAATTCATACCCAGCAACAATAAAGGCTGGGATTGATTGAGCAGCTACTTCTATATGGCCTTCCTCTCAACTCTTTCCCTAAATAACTCAATCCTTACAACCACACATGGGCAAGGAATACATTTCATCCTCATTTCAGGGCTAAAGAAACGGAGGCACAGAAGTGCTGTTCCGCCGTCAAACTCATTCACCCACCGCTGTCTTAGCGCCGGCAGGCCCATGAGTGCTGTGGTCTGGAGTCTGGAAGTTTGGGGTTGAGACCAGGGGGTAAGAATGCTGACTCAGAGTGAGGCAGAGGCACGGGTGGGCATCTGACGGCTAGCTCATGCCAGGCACTGCATTAGAAACTCAATAGCTGCTCCTCTATGAAGTAGGCGCCAGGAGAACTTCACTCCACAGCAACCGTGTGAAGACCCAAGGAGTGATTTCCGCTTTATAGATGAGCAGACTGAGGCGCAGAGAGGTGAAACGCTGACTCCAGTTTCCAGTGCTAGAAAGAGAATGAGCTCACATAGGAATGGATTGCAGCTTTGCCTCCATCTACGTTTCAGACTCTTGGCCTACAGATTGCCTCTTGGGACAATGCCACTTCCCATGCCCTTCAAGCCTGGGAATCTTTGGGGAAGGTGGGATCCTACAGAAGCTTCTAGATCAGCGGTTCTCAACTTGTGGGTCGCAATCCCTTTGGGGCTCAAACGACCCTTTCATAAGGGTCACCCGATTCATCACAGTAGCAAAATTACAGTGATGAAGTAGCAACGAAAATAATTTTATGGTTTGGGGTCACCACAACATGAGGAACTGTATTATAGGGTCGCAGCATTAGGAAGGTTGAGAACCACTGAACGGGAAGAATCTTCCATTTACTAAAGATCTCTCACACGTTGGGTAAAAGTCTAGATCAAGCCCTGGCTTACCCTCTGCGAAAGTGCCAAACAAGAGCCGGTCCCTCCTGCCCCGCCCAGCTCCTGCTGAGCGGGAGGGCTGGACTTGGAGTGGGCACTGAGCAATGCAGCAGACAGGGATGGAGGGACAAGTGTAGAGCACCAAGCCTAGACCACAGACTTCAAAAGAGAAGCGAAGAAGGAGAAATGGACAGAAGCAAGACAAAGACAGGAGTGGCACTGAGTATGTCAGTACCCAAGCCTGGAAGGTACCACCCACAAAATGGGAACACGAGTGGCCTGCCCCCTAAATCCCAAGGAAGCCGCGAAACTGTGCATATCCAGTAAATCCTCTCTAATGAGGGTGGCAGGGGTGAAGACCCCCTTTTCAGAAGGCTCTCAGACCACTTTGGGGGTGACGATGAATCCAGAAGAGATGATGGGGAGCACGCTCTCCACCTAACGGGTTGGGTGGCCCCTGAAGCTGACAGCCCCTTAGAGAATAAGGGTCTGTCCAGGATCAGCGGAGGGGCTTGTCTGGGGTCTGATAGGAGGGAGATCACCACTGCTCTTCCTCCAGACACGGAGGTCTTGGCTGCCCTCTGTCTGGCTCCTTAGGCTGAACACAAGACTCAGGGCGTGCCCAGTGACGCTGGGCAAAAGAGCCTCAGACTTGCATGACGATGGTGGGTGTTTTGTCCTATGGGGTTGCCTTCTGACCCTGGGGAGCTCTGGGTGCTATCTCTAGGACTTGGCCTTGGGATTAGTGATGGTTTTCTACCTCCGTGACTTCCCTCCCTTCCTCTTTCCCTGCCTGCCTGCCTGCCTGCCGTCCTTCCTCCCTTCAGTCCTCCCTTACCTCCTCTTCTTTATTCCCCCCTTCCCCCCCCTTGTAATGTAGGACACACTGGTTGAACCGTGACTCTGCCCGGCCAGGTACTGGTGGCAACAGCACGAGCATTCCCAGAGGGGTAGGGGCAATGAGTGGGGAGGATAAGCCTGAGGGAGAGACAAGAGGAGAGAGGAAATGGATAGAGAAAGGGTGGAAATGGGAAAGAAGGCAGAAGAGGGAGGACGAAGCAAAGCAGGAGAGCAGGGAGCAGGGCGGCGGAAAAGCAGAAAAGAGGAAGGGGACTCAAGCAGGCGGGGAGAGGCAGAGGAGGAGAGCAGGTCTCCCGGGTACTTTCTAAGGCCTCCGGGCTGTCCTGTGCGTTTGGATACTCTGCCCAAGTCTCGCCAAGGGTAGCTTGTGAATAAATACCTCTGGGTAGGAGCAGATATCTGTAAACACAGTTGAGGAATTGAAAGTCAGGTTCTTCAAGGGTATCGACTTGTCAAAATCACACCACAGCTGTGGATTAAAACAACAACAACAAAACAACAACAACACAGTCAGTGTGATGCTGGAACGGAGCAGCGTGCTCTCGGCTGCTGGCTTTCTGGGAGCTGGGGCTGGCAGAAGGGAGGTGCCAGCTCTGGTGACCTCGAAGTGCTAGCTGGGAAAACGCATTTGTAAGCCAGTCACGGGACCAGGTCACATTCTTCAGAGCTGGGCTCAGCAGAGAGCTAGAGGGCAGGAGAGATCTGAGGTAAGTTCGAGGGCTGGCTCAGCTCCCCAGTGAGAGGATTCGCCTTGGGGAGGGGTGTAGGGGGTGATGGACTTCTCCAAGACTAGAAACTGCTGGAGACTTGGAAACAATAGCTCCTCTTAGCTGAATACCTCCTTTGTGCCAGGCACTTTGTAAAAAGCAAAATGAATAAAGCCTCACAACCACCTCGTGAAGCAGCTCCTATTTTTATCCCCATTTTACAGACGAAGAAGGCAAAACTCTGAGAACTAAAGTATAACTTGTCCAGGGTCCCTGAGCTGATCGGTGGTGGAGCTGAGATTGGGATGTAGGTCTCTCTGACTCCAAAGCTTGATCTTTGTACTGGGACATGGTTGGTCCGCCCCTGAGGTAATTTGACCTTGGGCTTATTTCTAGATCCTTTAAAGTTGGTCATCAAAACTCATGATTTTGGCTAGGAGAATGCAGGCTGTTGATCAATGATCTTATGAACCTCCACGTCAATTTTCATCATCTGTAAACTATTCATTAAATGATGAATCTCATTAGATTATGAGTTCCCCTTCTATTTTGGGGCCCCTGAATGCTTGGGGAGACTTCTTCTGCACCAGATGGCACAGTGATGGTTTCAGCCACAAGACAATGCCTCAACTAGCGTGTTCCGTGGTGCCAAGTTCAAATCCTGGAATCAGATACAGCATCCTGGATGCCAGCTTCTCGAGTTGTGAACAACACAGACGAGGCATCTATACGCAAAAACTACCTACAGGTTCCAAAGAACTGGGCTAGGAAAAACCCCCCACAATCCCTAAAACACGAGTCTCCAAATTCTAAACAGTAATGCATGGCACAGGGATCAGAGTGCCCTCTGAGGTCCATGTGTCACATCCAAAACAAACTCCAGTGAGATGCTCGACCTGCATGGGGACGGCCACACCTCCCTGTAGCATACCGCAGGTGCTCAGGAAACCAAAGCTAGTTTTATTTCCATTCCCCACTGGGCCCACTCTCAGAGATACCTCTTTGCATGTAATGGAGCCCGGGTCCTGGAGTCAGACACACCTTGTTAGCTCAAGTCTCTGAGTCTCAGTTTCCTCAGCCCCCCTGAGTGCCTGGCACACAGCAGGTAGGTCAGTCATACAGACTCACTCTGAGGATGCTAAGTTCCTGGCCCACCGCAGGCTTTTAGAACCTCTTCTGGAGCCAACCATCGCCTCTGCGGAGACAGAGGATTTGCCAACAGTGGAAAGCACCAGCCTCCTGGGAGCCATCTCTCTGTTCTCTGATGCTAAATTTGGGGATGGTCCAAGCACCCACAGATAGGTGGTACCAAGGAAGGGCAAGGCATGGCACTGCAGAGCCTAAAGACACATGCTTTCTGTCCGCACACCGGACACCAGAGGTTTGGGAGGCTTACGATGTTAAGGATGGCACCCAGGAAATTAATCAAGATGGAGGCGAAGATGATAATGTTCCGGGCCAGATAGGTCTCGTTTATCCAACAGCATGTTTTCCGGAGGACGAGGGGCAAGCACTTGTAGTCCTCGGCCGTGGTGATGAGGACCAGTGCCGAGTGCAGCATGAGAAGAGTGGAAAACTGAACGGCCATGGGCATCACCCTGTGGGAAAGCAAGAGCGCTAAGTGCCTTCAGCAGTCATCTGACCCCCCACCGAGGAGCAAGGCTGGCAGTCGCACCCACCAGCTTCCCCGCCCCACCCTACACCCCACACATCTTTGAACTTCTCTAGGCTCAATAAAAGGGTTCTTCGTGGGAGCTTTAAAACAAATTATAGTCATTGCCAGAATCTATATTGAGAAACTTGCAAAGGACATCAAATATTTGTCTTGATTTATTGTTCCTGCCCAATTTTCCCTCTTTTGCCATTCATTTTTCTCACGAGGCAACTGCTAAGGAGACCCCACTGGGATCTCATGTAGGTAATCTGAGTATGTGAAGGGGGCACAAATCCCTTGGCCCTTCCAGGTGGGCTTTGTGAGACACCGTCCCTCTCCATGCACTCCGATGCCTAGAAATTGACTTGACCCTAGTCTGGATGGGCTCAGTTCTGGCTAGTGATTGTCATGGGGGACATGGGATCGGCCACGTGCCAGGCACTGCCTGACTCGGGGTGCAGTCTGAGCTATGCCCAAGGCAAGGACCACAGTGGAAGTGCTTGCTGTCCACTCATTCACTCACTCATTTCCGTTCCCCCCAACAGTTGTATTGGCATATAGCTCATCATACAATTCAATTCTTCAATTGCATCAATACGAGTTGTACAATCATCACCTCAATCAGTTGTAGAACATTTCCTTCATTCCGTGCTCACTGATATGAGCTCCCCACCCCCTACCCAACCTTCCTGGCCAACATTCACTCATTTCTTCCTCCAAGCCTCATTCCTCACTCGTTCCTTCATTTAATTAGTTATTACTTTATTCAACCACCAAGCCAACTCAGCAATGTGTCCTGAGAACTGCCACATGGGCCCAGAACTATGGGATTCCCTCATTCATGAACTATCATTTTAATATTCACCAAACCCTTACGATGTGCCAAGCACTATGATTAGAATCAGTGATGACATGGCTGAGTGCCATGAGACGCCGGGTCCGGAGGAGTGACTAGCTGGAGAGGTCAGCATGGGTCTTGTGACGATGGAGACACAATATGATGGGGATAATAAGAACCAGCCTTTATCAACCATCCTTTCTCAAATGAATGATCCAGAAACCATGTGAAGCAGTTTACATTTGCTTGCTCATTTGAGATCCAGGTCTGACGGGAAGCCCCATTTGACAGATGAAACGTGAAAGTGGAGGGGCATTGACAGTTGAAGTTCAGGGCAGCTACCATTGGATTGAAATTCAGCTGCTCTTTGTGCAGGAGTGGCCCACTTGTTCTGGATGGGTTGATGAGAGGAAGGCAGTGGGAGACACCGAGGCTAGGACCAGGCTTTCAGAGGCTGAGAGGGTCAGGGGAATGGCATTCTGGGGGGGAAGGAATGGCACCCCCAGACACCTGGACCTGGGCAAGGGCAGCGTGTCAGAGGAGTCCACGCTGACGTGGGTGTTCTTGACCAGTAGTGGTAGGAGTTATTATTATTTTAACTAAAGAAAAGCACACTAGAGTTCCAAGAGTCGAGGTTTTGCTATGTCACAGTTCTGGTCCTCCTTGGACATTTCCTGGCCACTGGCTCAGCTATTGCTTCTTGAAAGTCTTCCTCCTTGCTAATTCTGGTCCATTCAGAATTCCTACATTTATGTAATGAATTTTCAAGCAGGTTCCAGGGTTGCTAATTTTCTCTTTTCCCAGTTCTTCACCCATCACACCTGTCCAGGTGTTGAGCAAATCATCATCATCATCATGATAACACTTGAGATGATATTTCAGATGGAAGAAAGTCCAAGTAAGCTCCCAGGTGAAGCATTCCAGTGACCTGTCAGGACTCCACTGACCCATGTGGAGGATGGATATAAAATTCAGATTACTGAATTGGACCACCGGGCATTTCCAAGGCAGTGATTCAGGATCATAACAGACGGATGCTGGTCTGCCGGTCGCCCTTTAACACATACTCTCTCCCAGAAATACAAGCAGGTAGGCAAGCTGCCACACCTTGAACCTAGATCTGGATGCTCTGCTGAGCCCACCCGGCTTCTTCTTTGTTGTGAATTCATTAACCATCTAAAGGAAAAAGGAGTAAAGGAAAAATATGGTCCAGAGGCATAGGAGCCATGCCGTAGGGACTAGGTAGAGGGCTTCAATGGGTCAGTAACTCTCTCCTTCCTTGTGATGCTTGATAACTGTTTCTTCAGAACCTCCTATGGGTCAACACTGCTAGGCAACGGGTCCATCAGTGATGACCCACCTGCTCATTGCCTTCTTTGCTATTTGCTAGCTGGGTAGCAGAAGTCTGTTTCCATCTGTTAAATGAGAATAATCCTTGGGTTTAAGACTAAGAGAGATCACCTGAGCTTTGGCATGCCTACGTGCTCAGAACAATTTAATTCATCTGGTTACTTTTGGGCAAACTTAAACACACAAACTCACTGCCATTGAGTCAATTCTGGCTCCCAGTGACCCTACAGAACTGGGTAGAACTGCTCCTTTGAGTTCCTGAGACTGTAACTCTTTACGGAGTAGAAAGTCCAGTCTTACTCCCACAGAGCTAGCTGGTGGTTTAGAACTGCCCAACACCTAAGCACTACATCACCTAGGTGAACTAGTCCTTGTGCAAGGTTTCAGCATCACTCCAGGTTCCCCTCCAAAGATCTGTCCCATGGTAGCCCCCTGTCTATTGGATACTGAGACTGGGCGTCAGGGTGTTTCTAGCAACTCGGTGTCGCTAAAATCCCATCTCTCAGGCATCTCTGTCAGCATCTTTTCCTGATTAGGCAAGCCATCACCAGCTATGCTGCTTTTCCTTGGGACTTGGCTGCCCTTTCTCTATTCTCTTCCCAGCTACTTGTGTTCTACATTGGCCTCTCTAATTTCTCCCCCTCTGTTTCAGCCAGCCAACGGCTAAAGAGTGTCCCGAGAGAAATGGCGAGGCATTTCACATCAGCTCCTTCTTCTAGCAACTCAAGTTCTTCCTCTGGCTTTTAATACTTCCCCCAGTTCAAATTCCAAGAGAAACAACTTCTAGGGGTCATTCAGTTGGTAAGCGTTGGTGCTTGGAGGCAAGTCCACTCTGCTACACCGCTCTGCAATGTAATCAGTGTGATAAGCAGTAACTCCCATGGGCTTGCAGGCATCTCTGCGTGTATGGTTTCATCACACTACCCCTTCCCTCAGCAATCTTTCTTCCTGGACACAGTGCTAGGCAAAGAAGGTGTGTGAGGACCAACGGCCCATCTTCTCCATCTCTAGGTGGTCACACTTTAGAGAGCTGTTGTTGTTAGGTGCCTTTGAATCAGTTCTAACAGCCACCCGTGTAAACCAGAACAAAACAGACCTAGCCTGGCGGCATCCTCATAATCGCTATGTCTGAGACTGCTGTTGAAGCCACGTGTCAATCCATCTCGCTGCGGGTCTTCCCCCTTTTTCGTGATCCTCAACTTTAACACGTGTAATGTCCTTCTCTGGCAACCGGCTCTCTCCTGGTAACTTGTCCAAAGTACACAAGACGGAAGTCTTGCCATCCTCGCTTCTAAAGAACATTCTGGCTATACTTCTTCCAAGACAAGCCAGTATGTTCTTCTGGTAATCCAATGTTGTGTTAGTCTGGGTTGACTAGAGAAACAAATTCATAGACACTCGTGTGTAAGAGAGAACTTTAAATACAAGAGCAATTGAATATTGAGAAAACATCCCAGCCCAGTCCAGATCAAGTCCATAAGTTTGATATAACCCCATATGTGGATACTAGTCCGTAAATTCTTTAGACTCACACAGGCATGCAATGACGCTGCATGCAGGAAGATCACAGGCCAATGGGTTGAAAGTTCTGTGGATCAGGTGGCAGTGGAAGCATCTTCACATGGCTCCTTCAACAACAGGGCTCTAGCATAGATAGTTCCATGTGTCTTCTCCACAGGAATGTCTCCCAGGGAGTGAGCATGTGTTCTGCCTCCAGCGAGCTATTTATCTCCTTAGCGCCTCCAAATGAGGTCATCAAGCTGCGACCTGATTGACAGGCAAACCCCATGCCTTCACTCTTAAGTCTCAAATTGACAACAGATTATGTAACTACCACAAAGGTACTTTCAATATTCTTAACCAACACCGTAAAGCAAATGCATCCATTCTCCTGTGGTCTTCCTTATTCATTGTCCAACTTTCTCATGTGTATGAGGCAATGGAAAATACCATGGCTTGGGTCAGGCACATGTTAGTCTTCAAAGTGACTTCCTTGCTCGACTTTAAAGAGGTCTTGCACAACAACGTATTTGCCCAATGCAATATATCATTCCTTTTTTCTCTGCTGCTTCCATGAGCATTGGTTGTGGATCCAAGCAAGACAAACTCCTTGACAACTTCATTTTCTCCATTGACACGATGTTCCCTGTTGGTCCAATTGTGAGGAGTTTTGTTTTCTTTACATAGATTTTTGTGTTCTTTAGAGCACAGGTCTCTACTGCCCCTTTTCAGGAAGAAAAAAAAAAAAAGAAGTTGTCCCCCTTCAGAGATTGGTCTTTCCTGAGGATATACAGGAAGCAAGCAAGTGAGACCGTGTTGTATTGTCATCCAGAAGGTTTTCAGGAGTTTTTGGAAGGAGCTAGTCCAGCCTTTTTTTGTGTGTTATGTAGGTCTGGGAGCGCCCCTCAAAGCCGGCCATCAGGGATGACTCGGCTGGTCTTTCAGACATTGGTGTGATGCTTCTAGCATCATAGCAAAATGTAAGCTACAACCAGCAGACAGACAGAAGTAATGTGTGACTGCAGGGTAGGAAGAGCTATCTGGAGAAGAAGTCATGAAGGGTGGACCACTCTTTAACCATGTGAGCGGGGTAAGTAAGTATAAGGAGAGAAGCCAGTCTGTATAGGAAATGAAGTTGATGGATTTGCTTTGGCGCAGGCTGAATGTCTGGCTTTTGCAATCATCCAGTGGGTGATATCTAGGCCACTGAGAGGGATGGCGGTGGCAGTCTGGGGGTGGAAAAACAGAGCTTACCG